CATAAAAAAATTATATATATATATATATATATATATATATATATATATATATATATATATTCTCTCTCTTTATTTATTCCTTCACTTTCTAGCTTGTACTTGTTTGAACAATGTCTAAAAACTTGGTATTACAACCACTTCCTGTGTCTGTTTGCCTCTTTAAGAAGAATCGCTTTATGTATCCCCCAACTGTAAGTCGCTTTGGATAAAAGCGTCTGCTAAATGACTAAATGTAAATGTCTTATTATCACAGATCAAAACAGTTGTGCTGCTTAATATTTATGTGGAAACAGTCATACATGATTTTTCAGGATTTTTTGATTAATAGAAAGTTCAAAAGGCAGCATTTATTTGAAATCAAAATCTTCTGTAACATTCTAATATGGTAATACCACAGTTTTAAATGGTCTTTCCTCAGTTTCACATTTTCTGTGCAGCTTTTGGGAGAAAATGTGGAATTCTTCAAAATGTATTTAAATGTTGTTTAAAAAATTAACTAAGCTATAAATACAACAGTTGAAAGCATTAACACACAGTGGTGTGTTCATTTCCAAATTGTAATATCAAAGAAAACATCACCTTTCCATGTGACTGGATTCAGTGTGTCTTAGCCAGTGGGAATGAAGCACGGTCAAACTTTTGTTTTTTTTCTATAGATGTGGGTTCGGTTGAGGGCTTGGCTTATCACCGTGCCTGGGACACAATTTACTGGACTAGCTCCACCACCTCAAGCATCAGCAGATACACAGTAGACCAGAGCCGACAAGGAGCTTTCACCAGGCAAGCCGTTGTCACCATGTCTGAGGATGACCATCCCCATGTCTTGGCCCTGGATGAATGTCAAAAGTAAGATTTTTTTTTGCCCTCTTAGGTATCTGATATTGTTGCCTATAAAGACTGTCAAATCACAAAAATGACATTGAGAATGTTTTGTTTTTTTCAATTTTCAAGGACAGTACTTTTATACAGGACAAAACATTTATAATTTCACATGAGACTTTGAGTTTGTTGTCATGTGCATTGAAATGCTTATTTGTACTTCATAACATTCAAAAAGCCCAGTCATCGGTCATGTGACATGCAAGAACCAATGGCGTTTGATGTGACGTATATAAAAGGTGCCATTTTTCCGCTCCAAAAGAGGGAAAGATTTCATTCGCTACAGACCAAACAAAATGGACACATTCACTTGATAGAGAAACCTTTGTGGACACGTAATGTGAAACAAAATAGATTTTTATGTCAGTATGGAAGCATATTGACTTTTAAAATCGAGAGCAAATTGATTCGTCACACACAGGAAAACTGACATATATGGAAAGTCAATCGGTCAAGAAGGAAAACATTTTAATTAGCTTGACCTCTTCAGATGAGCAGGGCACCATGTGAAATTAGTTGTGGAAGGAATATTTTTATTAATGACCCAGCAGAGTAGCAACTCTCCAGACATCGTGGATGGTATATGCACTTAAATATCCTCTCCAAAAGAACCGTTTGAGACTCATGAACAGCATTGATATTCAGAAAGATGTGCGACCCTGAGTTCACCGACTACATTAAACCCCCAACCTTGAAGAGAATATGCTTACTTGGTAATCTGGCACTTTTTCAAATGGACTACAGACTGCTGTTAATTAGAATCTAACCTGAAATGATTAATTGGCATAGAATGTCAGCATGTATCACTAATTTTCAATTAGTCCGTGGAATTAGACTGTGAAAGGAATTTGTAAGAGGGACGTCAAATAGGCCCTGAGGCCTTTCTGTCCACTATTATTTGTGAAGTCAGAGATATTCCCTTGCACCGTAGAGCCGGTTTAAAAATACCAGCAGGCGACAGTATTGAATCATTTTGTCTCGCTAGTGCTGTCTGTAAAATCGCTTCCATTCCTCTCATTTTTTGTCCCATGTATTTTGTAGCCTCATGTTTTGGACCAATTGGAACGAGCAGCGCCCCAGTATCATGCGCTCCACTCTTGCAGGGAATAACATGAAAGTCATCATTAGCACAGATGTATTCACTCCTAACGGACTCACAATTGACCATAAAGCGGAAAAGCTGTATTTCTCTGACGGCAGCCTGGGCAAAATTGAACGCTGTGAATATGACGGCTCCCACAGACATGTGAGTATCACTCTTTCTCTCTTTCGTGATGTTTCAGAAAAACATTTTTCCAATAAACAACCCTTCTACATCATTTATTAATCTAGTTCGATGTGCTATTTAACTATTTTTAAAAATATGTAATATTTTATTAGTTCTATAACATTTAAAATTAATTAATACTGTTAAAAATTGTTATAATGTTAGTTCATTGTTAGTCAATGCATGTCTAATGTTATCTAATGCAACTAATACACAAAGAACCTTATTGTCAAGTGTTACCACAAACTTTAAGCAAATTAATTATGGTATGCTGATTAGAGGTCTGCTACCCGACACGAGACGGGTCCTGAAATACTTTCGGGTTTCGGGTCGGGTTCGGGTTAATGTTTAATGAATAGCTTCGGGTTCGGGTCGGGCTCAGGTTTATAGCTAAACTAAAACTATTTGCAGTAGGCTTTCATAGACGCACGCACACACATTATTTCACATGACAACGACAACACAGCACGGAAACTTTATTAGTAAAATAGCTTAGATAGGCTACTGACCCCACAATGTTATATTTCTCTACAATAAGGGGGTTAAATCACTGTTTTTGAAGTAACTAAGCCTCATTGCTTGTAGAGAGGGACGTGCAGACGAAGGTTCAGGGGGGGGGGGATTTTGGGGTCGGGCTCTAAATTTAACTGTGCCGGTCAGGTTGGGTCAGATGATCTCGGGTTCGGGCTTCAGTTTAAAGCCCATGCAGACCTCTAATGCTGATTAATTAATCAGATTCTTCACGATTAATTGCAAATCAGTACAGGTGCATCTCAATAAATTAGAATGTCATGAAAAAGTTCATTTATTTCAGTAATTCAACTCAATTTGTGAAACTCGTGTATTAAATACATT